TTTGGATGAATGCGTTCTCTTATCGTACGAGCACCGAAGTTAAGCAATGTCAACCTCCATGTGTGACCGCTGGTGAATATCAGGTTCCGTAAGCTTGAGTGTGCTGGAGGTATAATAGATAGTGGCGAGGTACAATTGCTGTCGTTTTTTGTTTTTTTTTAACATTCATTTACGCTCAAATACCCTTGGGGAATATATGAATCCCCTTCAACTCCCCTCCCCCCAACTATGGATTATTTAGTAGAACTTGTGGTAAAAATCATTATCTCAAAAAACAATTTCTTAGAATTTAGAAATATGTTCTGGCTTTAAATAACCTGCAAAGGGTTGATAAGCCGTAAAAAAGAAACAGTGAAAACAAACAAATGCTTTCATTATTCTTTGCAAGTTTATCATTATTATTATTAAGTGAGAGGCCAGCACGTCAACAAATTGACGCTGGAATACAATTATACAAACCCAATATATCCATCTAATAACACTCAGTAGGGATAAAGGTATACCGAGCAGATGCATCACAGCCAAATGTACGCGATATATTGACAGGTTTTGATAAAATCAGCGCATAATATTGCAAGTGGAACCCAGTTAGAAATAGCTTCATGTCGGATAACCCAGTCCGCTCAGATGTCCCCCCCCCCCGATTGAGGGTGTTCCTATGTATCACGATGTGACTTCTCAAGTCCCCTTTGCTGTCTCATACTTCAAACTTATAAATATTAGTGGGAGGCAAATCTTTACAGGTTACTGCACTGAACTTCACTGCACAGGTATTTATAAAGGGGTCTATCCACACGACCGTGTCGCACAGGATTTGACACAAGGTCATGTGAAGAAGAGGTACCACCTGTGAAGAAGAGGTACCACATGTGAAGAAGAGGTACCACCTGTGAAGAAGGCCTCTTGAAGCTTGGCTGTATTCGTATGTATGACTAATTCGTTACCGAGTATGCTTTTATCCTCAGGTACATTCGTGTATGTTAAATACAGACAGAGCCGACTTGCGATTTAAACTGCATCTAATCTGAGCAGACCTTAGTTACAGTTTCCGGGAGAAAGCCTCTAATCGGTCTAGTACGATCAAAACTTAGCAAAAAGCCACATGTCATCTGAACAGTTCCGTCTGTCAAATTTGATTCAAAAGGTTTGTGTCAACCAATGGTATGGGTTTCATGCACTTCGGATAATTCCGTGCAGTCTATCCAGGCAGATATTATCGTGAAGTTACCCCAGTAAAAAATTAACCATGGTGAGATTCGAACACAGGTCTCAGGGTCAGAAAGCCAACGTTCTAAATACTCGGATACGCACCCACAGTACTAGTATGGATCTGCTCAAAAAAGCTCTCGTATTAACGGGCACACTAATTTTCTGTAAATATATCTGAAATATAAAATAATAATATATGCATAAAAATGTCTGTTTTGTGAGGAAGACAGAGAGACTTGTCTTGTCTATGCTATACCAACAGTTAAATAGTGAATGTGATAAAACCGACCCCCCCCAAAAAAATAAACGGCAATTTTATCGCTTTTTTATCGTTCTCCCGTTGCACGGTTTACCTTGCCAAACTTCGAAGAAATCCACCATTAAATAACATTAGCCACAGAATTAATGAAGTGCTTCTCAAGGGACCGCTAACTTGACGTACGAGTTAGGAAGCATAATCAACAAAAAGACTAGGTCACTTAGTATGAGTCTTATCTAATAAAGTCTCTCTTTCTCCATCATTCTCACTCTCTCTCTCTCTCTCTCTCTCTCCTTATATATATATATATATATATATATATATATATATATATATATATATATATATATATATATATATTAATTTGCGTCCGTTTAAAAATATCCCGACTCTCTCTCTTTTCTTACTTTATTTTATTGTACTATATATTACAATAAATAATCTTTTAGAATCGTCGTACATACATGCACCCATCCATATTATATCTATCTATCTATCTATCTATCTATCTATCTATCTATCTATCTATGTATCTATTATATATATATATATATATATATATATATATATATATATATATATATATATAAAATATAAAAGACAATTTGAAAACACTGAATAGATGAAATTTCGAAAAATGATGCTTAATCCAAATTTGATTACCATTTTTGAAAGTACCCACGTTTTTCGCTTTTTTTTTTGAGATTTTTGGTGTACGTTGCTATCTCCCTTCAAGGTATTCAAGTCTTCCTTCCTCATTATATGTTCAAGAAATTTCAGTTGTCACTCGGATTCAAATTCTAAAGGTATCTTCTTCTTTGTTATCATTTTCTTTAAAACTTCTTTGATACTTACTCGCTTCGATGATGGAATTCTCAGTATCCTTCTGTAGAACCACAGTTCGCTTTACTTCCAGTTTCCGTTTCATTTGTGGAGACATTATCCAGCATTCACTTCCATACGAGAGAATTGATATCGAATAGCAATTCGGAAAAAGTATATTTTTTTAGCGAATTTTATGTGTTTTTTAATATTTGGTTTAGATTAAAGAATGCATCATTTGCATTGATTCAAGAGAGAGTCGATAGAGAACGACATTTTTATCCTAAGCGGAGAGATAAACTGATCCACACTTAAATAAGTGAGACATTTTGATCATAAGCGGAGAGATACACTGATCCACACCTAAATAAGAGAGACATTTTGATCCTAAGCGGAGAGATAAACTGATCCACACTTAGATAAGAGAGACATTTTGATTTTAAGCGGAGGGATACACTGATACACACTTAAATTAGAGCGTCATAAGTGTTCATGAACCCCCGTGTGTTGGTATATATATATATATATATATATATATATATATATATATATGCAGTTTTTATATATATTATATTATATATGTGCAGTACTTATTGGAAAGCGGTCAATATTAATGATAGAGCTAACATATTTAGTTGGATTGATGTGAGTTTGTGACACTGCAGTTTGTTTGGTGATCGCAAAACCCAGCATATATATATATATATATATATATATATATATATATATATATATATATATATATATATATATATGTGGGATAACGATATTACATAAATTTTGATATATGAAGAAAGGTTTTGAAGTTGTATGACAAAATTAAAAAATATTCGTGTGACGCGTTTTGTCCGATGAGGTCCTAAAGCACGAAGCGCGTGACACGAAATCCTTTTCAACTTTCTCATATATATATATATATATATATATATATATATATAAAATCTATATTTTGAAAAAAAAAAAGAAAAAGGCTGACCAAGATCTTTTTGGTAGGTATCGTTTTTATGACGTGCATTCTTTGTAATTAGAGTGATCGTTGTCATAAGATGACATAATTGATAATAAAAACATCAATAATAATAGTGAGTGCAAGTGTGTGCACGTCTCTCTCTTTATATATATATATATATATATATATATATATATATATATATATGGTTATAAGACTTTCTTCGGTGCAGTCGGTGTTATATATATCTATGCATATATATATATATATATATATGTGTGTGTGTGTGTGTGTGTGTGAAAAGTGTGTGTATATAAATATAAATAAATAAATATATATATGTATATAATTATTTATATATTATATACATAGTACTTATTAGAAAGCGTTCAATATCAGAGATAGAGCTAACGTATTTAGTTGGATTGATGTGAGTTTGTGACCCAGGATTTCATGCTTTTGCGATCGTCAGACAAACAATATATATATATATATATATATATATATATATATATATATATATATATATATATATATATATATATTCAAATATATTCGAGAAACACACAAAAACACATGCAGTCACATACACACACACACACACACACACACACACACACACACACACATATATATATATATATATATATATATATATATATATATATATATATATATATATATATATATATAACTGCCCAGGCTTTGTGCTACATCTAAGCTACGCTCAGAAAATCAGTTCTGTATATCGGCGTGGTATACAGTAATGGTGAGCAAGCCTGCCTCGCTAGATCAATTACGAATGAGTAGTGAGTTCGATTCTTAATGGGTGCTCAACTTTCGGCTTTGTGCCACACCTTAACTACGCATAGAAATTGTCATATATATATATATATATATATATATATATATATATATATATATATATATAAAGTGTGTATATACTTTCGTGTGTGGATGTGTGTGTACTTCTCTAATATTTGGAGAACTAATTTCATGCGATGTAATTGCAAAGGCAGCCATAAAAAACTCAATTAAACCCCAGAAACTGAGGTCCTGTCTGTTGAGAACGGAATCCTAATTCCAAGTGCTCGTCGTCCGTCACCGTCGTGTTTGTCATAGTCGTTAAAGTTGGTAATCAGATGTTTTTTTGTTTAGTGGGAGGTGGAATGGAAGGGTGGCTTTTTCGGGTTAATCAGCAGTGGACTAAAAATAAAAAGAAAGCATTTCGTATTTGTCTTTATTCATTAACACAAATAAAAACAATAAGTTCAAATGAAAAATGCAATTACTCTTTTAATAAGAGCGTTATTCAATTCATCTGTCTCCGTTTATTAAATGGAGATCAACGGCGCTGAAAATACATTTATTTGTATTATTTTCCTTATTAGTTTCATTAGTCGTCGTCATAGTAGTAGTAGTAGCAGTTATAGTAGTAGTGTCAGTTATAGTAAGTAGTAGCAGTAGTTATAGCAGTTAATAGGAGCAGAAAGAGGAAAATCGTGGAGAGGGCTGATATCTATAGATTTTAACTTATTTTATGTGTAATTAACTTTGATTTGATGTATAGCATAATAATTCTTTATGAAATGGAATAATTTAAAAAGTTTATTTTCTCTTGTCTTCATTGGCTTGAGATGAAAGAAAGAAAGAAAGAAAGAAAGAGAGAGAGAGAAGGGCAATAAGTAAATAAATAAATAAAGACAGAAAGAAAGTTATATACATATATATATATATAGACAGATAGAGAGAGAGAGATAGCTAAAGGAAGGAAGAAAGAAAGAAAGTAAGAATGAGAAATGAGTAAATAAATAAAGACAGAAAGAAAGTGAGATAGATAGACAGAAGAAAGAAAGAAAAAAGAAAGAGGGATGGGTAATAAGTAAATGAATAAATAAATAAATAAATAAATAGATAGATAGATAGATAGATAGATAGATAGATAGATAGATAGATAGATAAATAAATGCATAAATAAATAAATAAATAAATAAATAAAGAAAGAAAGAAAGAAAGAAAGAAAGAAAGAAAGAAAGAAAGAAAGAATGAATGAATGAATGAAACATTTTCGTTTGATTTTTCAAGCTTAAAAATATTGACCGGTGGTGAAAGAAAGAAAGTAAAAAGAAAGAAAGAAAGAAAGAAAGAAAGAAAGAAAGAAAGAAAGAAAGAAAGAAAGAAAGAAAGAAAAAAAGAAACAAAGAAAGAAATAAAGAAAGAAAAAAATAAAGAAAGAAAAATCTGGAGTGAGTGAGTGAGTGAGTTAATCAGTGAGTGAAGGAGTGGGTGAGTGAACAAAAGCTTATTCACAGAACTTGCCTGAACTTCTCTAAGTCCTCACCACCTGTAAAATCAGTGTTCACAATCCCAGCACCAACGGTCTATATTGGTTGGAGAACTTGCACTACACCAGAGGTTCTCAACTAGTGAACGGGAATTCCAGGGTTTTAAGGAGGCGGGAAGCACAGATTCAAACAAAAATATTAACTTTCGAACTCCCCAAGGCAGGACCACCCTCAATGTGCATCAATCCGCGAAACAGAGAGGTCACGCCGGGTTTTCTTTCCGTGAGTGCCTGTGTTTTTTGTCCCGACAAAAACAATCCATGTAAATGTATACGTACCAATAGGGAAAAGAATGAAGATTTTCAATAATATATGCATATTATTTGAAATACACCTTTTGAGTTGAACAATCTTGAAAAGAGGGTGGTGGCACCCTGACTTATTTTGAAAAGGGTGCATGGGGCAAAGGAGGCGGGATATCACTATCAGCACGCGGCCGTTAACATCAAAGAATCAGAGAGGATCTCCAGTAATAACAATAATTGTTTAAATGCTACACTAGTATTTAGTCACCCCCCACGAGGGCATCATGTGGCACAAGGCCGGGTTAACGTGGGATCTCAGAGCCCGTGGGCTCTGTCAAAAATATGCCCTTTGAACCGTTCAGGGTCGGTTTACCTCCCCGAAAGAGACTTCGCCCTTCGGCGTAGACTCGTTCGGGTTCTTCCCCGCCCGAAGGCAGAGAGTTCAACCGATCAACCGATCAGCCGGTCGTCCGACTTCAGACTGAACCAAACGCTATACTTACATGGAATTCCGTACTGAAACACTTTATTTAATTTACAGAGGAAGACTGTTCTCATTCCACAGCCCATGTCTACTTCTTATTTTTAGTATGACCAGTTATTGCTCGCCTTGTTTCCACTGGACACTCTACTCGACCAAGGGAAGCAATAGTTTTTTTAAGCTTAGATTACGCCTGACAAAAGGCACCCTGTGTGGCGCTAACTCACTACTGCGAGAAGATCGATGCTGAAATTCTTTTGGAGGTGTGGGGATCGCAAGTGATATGTTTATTTAATAACTTCTCAGGACATCCTGTTAATTTTTTTCTTTTTTTTTTTTTTTTTTAAAGGAGGCCTTTCCTCATCACCGAAGACGACAACAGTTTAAGATGACGATATTTGTGTATCCTAGAAACAGTTAACAATGAATTGCTTTTTCGCAAATATCTAAATTCCGAGTCGAAAGCAAAGGGTTTAGCAAGTGGGGTGCCGTTAGCGTACCTCTGGACCCTTTTTGCAACAAAATGACAGAGTAGTTTAGCATTATTTTTTCCCCCTTGCAATAACAAATTTCTCAATATATCTACAGAAAAGTATCGCCTTACATCTCAGGGATAGATATCGCCTCCAATAGTTACATATCTATTGCCTTAGAGATATAGATATATCCTCTGAGTGATTTCTATATCTATCACCTAACACACACACGTGCGTGCGCGCGTGCACACACACACACACACACACACACACACACACACACACACACACACACACACACACACACACATTCAAACCTGTCTGGTTGATCAATATCGACAAGTTCGGTCAATCAAATCTATTTTTGAAAAAGTTAAGACATTTGTTAAATGCGAATATTAATGAACCAGACATGTTGAAATATCTATCTATCTATCTATCTATCTATCTATCTATCTATCTATCTATCTATCTATTACAAATACACATATACACGCAGACGCTCAAACATACACACACACAAACAAACAAACGCAAACATTTTATATTTCCATACCGTCTATCCCTGGTATTGAGCACTTTAACGCATAAATATAGAATATCTCCAAATTATACCTTTTCCATACATACATACATACATACATACATACATGGATACATACATGCATACATACATACAGTAACGCATGCGCACACACACACACACACACACACACACACACACACACACACACACACACACACACACATATATATATATATAAGACAAAACAAAACAAAAACTTTTTGTGACGTGAACGTGATTTATCCGTAAGGACTTCATCGGGTATATACACATATATTCAAACATGTCTGGTTGATTAATATCGACAAGTTCCGTCAATCAAATTTATTTTTGAAAAAGTTAAAACATTTGTTACCAGAACTTGTGAATATTAATCAACCAGACATGTTGAAATATCTATCTATCTATCTATCTTTCTTTTCCTATCTATCTATCTATCTATCTATCTATCTATCTATCTATCTATCTATCTATCTATCTATCTATTTATAAATATAATTATAAAAAGAAAATATGAAATAAAAACTTAAGAAGTCAAACGGATCGGCTAAGATAATGTTTCCTTTTGTCCTTTAGGACTTCATCAGACTAAAAGCGATGCTTACGTTGATGTGATTACACATGCATGTAAAGGAGAAGAGACACTGAAATTTTAAATTGAATTTATTTTTTTAAATATCTGTTTGGTCATGCAGCCTAGATGTTTTTTTTATTTAGCTTCTTTTTATGTTTTTATCACTTTTGTTATCAAATATATTTTCCTAATATATATCTATGTATATATCTATATCTATCTATCTATCTATGAATATATATATATATATATATATATATATATATATATATATATATATATATATATATATATATATACTAAATGTACTTGAGGTATATTGATAGCTGTCACTTCACATATCTATATATCAATCGACTTAGATAATCATGTGTGTGTGTGTGTGTGTGTGTGCATGCATGTGTCTCATTACATAGATCTCTTATACCTTAATAGACTGACAGCTATCGTTTCAGATACCATATATATAGCCTTAGATATAGAGATAGAGAGAGAGAGAGACAGAGAGAGGGAAGTTGTGGAGAGATAAACATAAACTCATTCTCTTTATTGCATTTAATTCAGTGAAGAACAATTAATACATCAAACATAGATAGATGAACAGACTGAGATAGATAGATAGATAGATAGATAGATATCAGAGTTTAACGTACCTATCGACTTAGATAGATGTATATATCGCCTTAGATCAATTGACCTTGCGCCAGATATCTACATATCTGTCGCTTTAGATATGGCCTTCAATTGAGATTGTATATACGGTAAAAGAAAGAAAGAATAAAGGAGACATGCGAATAATAATGAAGAAGAAAAAGAAAGATGTCTGTAAAATATATTTTTTATTAGAAAGAGAATAAAAAAAGAATATCCTCACTCTCTCTCTCCCTCCCCTCTCTCCACCTCTATCTCCCCTCCCCCCTCTAATTCCCCTCTCTCCCCCTCTCTCTCCTCTCTCTCTCTCTGTACACGCTCCGAATTCTACAAAGTAAAAGTAGCTTTAAAGTTAGTAATTGTAAAAGCCGATGTCAAGCACATGCAACCAAAAGAAAGAAAGGAAAAAAGGAAAAAAAAAAAAGAAAGAAAAAGAAAGAAAAATAGAAAGAAAAAAAAAAGAAAGGAGGAAATGAGGTCTGCTTTTTATTTATTTGTTTCATTCGTTCGAGGCGTAATTAGTGATTTTCTCCTGAGAGTATTTTCGTCCACTTTCAATCCTGCATCTTCAGTTCTTCTCTTAAACTTGTCAACTGGCGAACGGACACGCACCAACCACCCTTACTAAAATATCGACGGGGATGATAAAAATGTCCTTCACTGTTTACACTTGTTCACACTTACCTTTTAAAAAACGAACCAACATTCATTAATGGTGTTAAAAAAAACAAAACCAAAAAAAACAAGTTATCGTTGGTTGACGAGAAATGAAGTGGGTAGTGAGAGCGTACGTGTGGGATAAAGGAGTGACGGAGAGTCCCAAATCTCACAAAGGAGAGAGAGAGAGAGAGACAGAGAGAGAGACAGAGAGAGAGAGACAGAGAGAGAGAGACAGAGAAACAGAGAGAGAGAGACAGAGAGAGAGAGAGAAAGAGAGACAGAGAGAGATAGAGAGGCGGACAGAGAGAGACAGACAAAAAAAGACAGAGAGTGAGAGAGTCTGAGCGAGACACAGAGAGAGACAGTGTGAGAGAGACAGTCAGAAAGAGAGACACAGAGAGAAACACATACACAGATAGAGTGGGAGAGAGAGAGAGAGAGAGACAGCGAGAAAGACGCAGAGAGAGACAGGTAGACAGAGAGTAGAGAGTAGTTACTTTACGGAGCGGCAAGAAAAAGTTCAAATTCTTCTCACTACTACTAATAACGTAAATTAGGTGTTATAAATACGGTAACAGTTGTATCCGTAATTACCGGAGCACTTGGAACAGTTCCGATCCTTGCGAAGCGGTTAAAAAAACCTGAAAATCCCAGTGAGAAGCGAAGTTATTCCGACAATACTATTGTTAAAAAATCTACTTGGATACTGAGGAGAGTGCTGGAATAGCGAAGAGGCTTGTTGTCACTTGATTTTGATAACCAGTTACGACATATATGAAAACTCAATGAGCATTATTATTATGATTAAAGAAAATATTAATGCCGAAGACCATAGAGTAGAACTAAAAAAAAAAACTGGTGCAAAACTTAAGGCAATACAAAAGTATACATCATAATTGGCACTCTTGGAAAAGTTGTGAAAGTTTTGCAAAGCGAATGAAAAAACAAGGAAATCGAAACTATCCTGATGACAGCATTCCTAAACTCAACTAGAATGCTGAGGTGAGGGCGTGCGAGAGGACAGGGGAGACGAACTGTTACTTGATCCCCAGTGAGGAGGGCCATCAAATAACACAGGTTTGAAAACTTAATGAGGACAATAATATGATTATAATAATTAACATTTTTAATTACCATAACAGCAGTAATTAAAACACACACACACACACACACACACACACACACACACACACACACACATATATATATATATATATATATATATATATATATATATATATATATATATATATATATATATATATACAGAAATATGGTCCAAGCTATATATATATAGAGAGAGATTGGACAATATTTCCTATACTTTTCTTCCGAAATGAACTTCGGACAGTTTGACTGAATAGTCATCCTTGTCTAAGAAGGATTATTCGGAACTTTGAAAAGTTGATAAATAAAATAAAGTTAATCGACACAAAACGTCTGTCGATTTTAATATCATATCTGCTCAAATACACAGAACGTGTATATATATATATATATATATATATATATATATATATATATATATATATATATATATATATATATAATCGCTTGATACCCACTGACGAATGAACGGACGGGTCCGTCTACGAAACTCTGGAGTTGGGACGCTGACGGTTTTATCAATCGGCTAAATAACAAACCTTTTACTGATTATATGTCTTGAACAATAAAAAATTAAAATTTTAGACACTGGGTTGTATATCAATATTTTTGTTTTATTACTTAAATTAGGTTACTCGATTAGTTTCGGCCAGCATGGCCATCATCGGGAGAAAGTATTCCTTTATATATATATGGTAAATAATGTTATCTTTGTCCCATAATAGTTGTTACATTTACGTACACATGTAACAGTTATTTTAGGACGGAAAATAAGTTAATAGAAAGTTGTTAAAATATTGATAAAATTAATTCGTTCATTAACCCAAGCGATAATATCAGCAGTCAGGGTTGCCCGAGGATTTGTTGAAATATTCTCGTCTCGGCCAAGTAGGGGATCCCGAAATAAATTCCGATGTTTGGTCACTGGGTCAGATTTTGGGAAGTGGGTCAGATTCAAAACTTTTCAGCACCCATCCATAACATATTTCATTTGTTTTCGGTGGTCATTTTTATTTATTTATTATTTATTTATTCATTTATTTATTTATTACTTATTTATTTATTTTGAAAGTATTTTCTATTTAATAACAATAAAAATTCACCCTTGTGCACTTTGACGTGATGTAGTGGTTAGCAAGCTTGTCCAGCTAGATCAATTATGACTCAGTAGTGAGTTCGATCCTCACCGAGTGCTCCACACTTTCGGCCTTGTGCCACATTTAAGCTATGCATCGGAAATCATTTTTGTGATTGAATAGTGAGTTCGATCCTTACTGTGATTCATTACTTTCGGCCTTGTGCCACATAAACAAACAGTATTAATTTATACAAACACAGAAAAGATCTAGGTAGTGAAGTAGCAAATGCGACACAGAAATCCAAAGGCACTGTAAAAAAGCGGAAGATGCCTTCCAGAAATTAAGCAAGCTATTAAGAGTTAGATAAATTTCCTTAGAAATGAAAGAATTAATGCTGAAATGCTGTCATATATAGCCAGTGGCGATCCTACGGGGAAGGGGTAGATGGGGCTAATACCCCTCCAAATTTTGGCAGCCCCCTTGGTTGCCCCCTCCACTTTTTAAAGTTTTGTAGAGAAAAAAATCACAGCAGACAAAATACATTGTTCTGCTAGTATTGACGTTAGTATTAACCCTTTGATTTTGTTTTGAAGTTAACCTCTCTTGTGGTTCAACAGCTTGAGAGTGAAAAAGAGGGCAAGATTAGAACTCCACACTATGAATGAAAAGTTATTCCGTTTAATTTAGTGAGGGGATATACTTATACTAAAACTCATTTCTAAGTTGTGTATACGATAGTGGTGTAATATGAAAATAAGGATGCTGCTTGAATTTGCTCCCCCTTCTCCGCAGACCCCCCCCAGTGTCCCCCTACTCTTCAGAGTTCCAGAAAAAGCGAAACGACAGAGATATGGTTCTGTGGCGGAATGATGTGAATACCAAGGAAGGAACATGTAGGCAAAGAGGAGGTATCAAGAAAAATGAGAGCACTTTTATTTAGAATCAGAAAGCGACAGTTGATATCTCTGGGACGCGTAAGAGGGCTTGAAGAGTTTAACACTCACATGGCCAATGGAGGGAAGGAGAGTCAGAGGGGAGACAACAAGAAAGCCGCCTAATGATTTGGTATGAACTGAAAACAAAGAGGGTTGGTAAAGAGACAGACGTTGCTTAGAGCTACAAGAAATGGGAAGTTGTGGAGAGCCATGATTGTCCACGCCCTGAGAGTACACGGGACATAAAAGAAGATTTCTCTGTATTAAAAAGAAAAATTATAATGTTTACTTTAAAAGCATAGAGGCATGTCAAATGTTTCCATCTAGTCCAGAGCGAAGGTTAACATTTTAGCAAGATTCGATAGCCGCACTCTCAAGTTTCCAGAATTTTCTTGAGAGTGCCACTATATATATATATATAAAATCACTTTAAACGTTATTTTTTAGTGGATATTCGCATCTGAGTAGATGCTCTGTTTATTTATTAAACAATATATTTATTTATTTTCGTCTACCGATCTGAATGTTGGGGAAATCTTATTAAAGAAATATTTGCGGTCTCTGGCAGGATTCGAAACTGCATCCCTCTGGGCAGATGGAGCTATCGTTAAATCCGATACGCTCTGACCAATTGAACCAGAAAGAACAAATTAGCCAGGAAAGGTCTGAATTGAACCTTTAAGCGAAACTTCTCCCGTCATAGATTTCCCGAAATATTTCATATCTCCAGAGTTTCGTATCCAAAACGTAAACAAAGAGAATTTTTAAAAGTGTATTCTTTATTGATCCGACAGATGTTTATCACTTTAAACGTTATTTTTAATGGATACTTGTATCTGAGTAGACGACGTTCCAGTGTGTGTGTGTGTGTATGTGTGTGTGTGTGTGTGCGTGTATGTGTGTGTGTGTGTGTGTTAAATGTCTATGGATTCTGTCTCTCCATTCAAAAAAAAAAAAAAAAAAAAAAAAAAAAAAGAACAATCGAAAGATTTTCTACTGAAATGTTTATAAATTAATACATTTTTTAAAAATTTTAGGGGAAAATATTGAATTTTTTAGTTTATTTTTAATGATTTAACTGAACAATTTTTTTAAATACCTAGAGAATTTACAAACTGATTAAAAAGTCTTTGAATGATTACTATTATTATTATTTTTTTTTTTTGCAGAAGTTAAATTGTCAGTTTATTATTTAGGCTGGCGGGTATTTTTCTTTTTAATATTTTGTTTTTGTCAGCATTGCAAAGAAAGTCTTTATATTTGCTGATTTGCAACAAAAATTATGACGGTATTTTTTTCTGCAATTTTAGCCTAGAACTGCAAGAACTGAAAAAATGCGCACAGAGCGCATTTAATAATAATAATAATAATAATAATACAGTCAGCTTCATGCTGAAAATTAACAAGGTCCCTTGGTAGCCCCTGTTTAGAAAAGATTAAAAATATGAGACTGCTCTCCTATTCAGAGAAATATTATCAATGTAAAGAAAATATAAACACTGTAGATACTAAGGATCACTTAACATCTGAATTTGTGTAAATAGAATGCGTGTATATTTATTATCTTTGCCTTACCTCAGGTCTTGGGTAATGACCCGTTAAGGGATTGCACGTAACAGAAAGCAAAAAATAAATAAATAAATAAATAAATAATAACAATAAAAATAATAATAACTACTTAGAAATACGAATTGCAAGAATGCGGCATTTAAACACAACCGTTGTTCCAATAATAATAGGAGCACTAGGAATGTGTAAAAACAATGCTGATACATAAGAAAGTAGCAGGAAAACCCTCTCTAAGTGAGATGCAAAATATTGCGCTTATGAGCACTGCTCACATATTCAGAAAAACTTTCTCGATGTAAATATGTTCAAAAAGTTTTAAAGAAAAATCTTCCTTTATATAAGGTTTCATCGTTAAAGATTTGGCAAAGGATCGTATCAAACGGCAAATTCAGAAAACTGGAAATAATAATCATAATGCAGTTAAAGCACTAAATTTTAAATTTGTCAAACTGACTTTAAACATAATTAATCATAGAAAAGTTGTAAACACAAAGTTGTCAAATATGCTGGTTTATAAAACTGTTTATGCTAAGAGCGAAAGCTAACAGGTTGTTACAAAGTTGTGTCAACATTACTGACAGACAACTGTTGAATATACATGTGTGTGTGTGTGTGTGCGTACGTGAGTGTGTGTGATCGTGTGTGCGTGCGTGTGTTAAAGGCTGTGAATTGTTGTGTTGGGCTCCTATATTTACGGACCCTTTAATTTCTTTAGTGGTAGGGGAGAGTAAGGAGAATGATGAGCATAAAAAAGTAACAGGATTTATTTATTTTTTACTCTTTGCCCGTTTGTTTTTAACGCACTTGATCCACTTTCTCTATTAAGTGATTTTCAAAACTTTGACATACTTGTTCATTAATTATATTCCGCCGTCGACAACGACGGCGACAACTTGACAACTTTCTCTTTTGCAACACATAGGGAGGGTTTTTTTTTTTTTTTTGCAATTTCCAGTGTGAAACAGAACTTATAAAAACGGAGATTGTATGAAAAGTTACTTACCCTGTGTAGCTCAAAAGTTTCCTTGTATTTAGCCAATGCCGAAGAAAATGCGGAATTGCTATTATTGCTGGCGTTGTTATTGTTGTTAACAGTTTTGTTCGCGTTGTTACTGCTCGGAGCAGGTGCGCTGATTCGTGACTCTAAAACTTGTGCCATTATATATTGTCCCTTTTTTCCCTGTTGATTTTAAAAAAAAATTTCTTTCCCCTTTGACGGGGAAGAGGAAATGAAAGATTATCTCTCGCAGTAAATACGTTGAGATATCCAATGATCCAGTGTTGGTAAAATTATTATTGTTATTATTATTATTATTATTATTATGCAAAAAATTTTTTTCGAAGAATCTTAAAGATCTACCGAAAGTTTTGTGTCTACTTTTCTTTTTACTCCTCGAAGAAGTAATCGAAAATGAACACAACTTTCTCTTTTCCTAAATAACGTGAAAGTTTTCCTTAAGAAACAATTTGTTTTTCGGAGTTGTAAATACGTGCTGTTTGTTTCTATTTCCAATTTTTGTTAATGAATGTTTGTATATATTTATAATCATGAATATATATATATGTTTTGGTGTCCAATCGATCGACAATGCTGTAAGTCCAAATGTCGCTTGATAAACTGACAAGCAACTAAATCTTGGTACTGTTTTTAATGCAAGTATAGAGATTTAGAGGAAGGCACAGAACTCCAGCGCGTTTCCTCAATTCTGATTGGTCCATCTATTTTTAGAAGGCTATATATACGTCTCTCATCGACTCGCTTCTCTTCAAAAGCTTGTCAGCCCGCGAAACTAGCGCAGCTAACCTGTACGTCTGCTGCTTTTGCAGCCAACTTTTTATACGTATAACGTTCCTAGTTTCCTTAAGTTGTATGTAAATAGAGAAAATACACAGAGTAAAGGTAGTACATGCAGGCAACTTAACTAGATGTTAATAAAAGAAAGATAGACCAGAGAAGAAACTAAAGATAAATAAATTTATTTTATTGTTTTTATTATATTTTTAGATGCGTTTCTAGTTGGAGGAAATAGTATTTTTTTCTTTAAGTGTTCATATTCATCACCGTTTTCTTTTTCTTTTTTTTAGCCATAGTCAGTATCACTATTTATAATTGATTAAGCTTAGCTTAATTTTGACACAAGGTGAATCAAATAGGAGCACCCGCTGACGATATAACGACTGAATAATAATAATAATAATAATAATAATAATAATAATAATAATAATAATAATAATAATAATAAAATAAAACAGCCAGATCCTTTTGCAACAATCCTTCGGTGATAAGCTCCCCGGTAGGGGCTGAAGGTACTTACTGACCTAAATTTATTTATTCATTTTTTACAAGGCCGGAAATACGAGGCATTCAGCGAGGATCGAACTCAAGCCTAGTTAGAAAGGTTCCACAGGACATATCAGTGGCGGACTGGGTCGTAAATTTCTACCAGGAAAACTTGTAAAAGGACCCAGTCAAAAGGACCTGCTTAATCCCAAAACAAGGAACTGAGGATATTTATTATCTACCGAAAGAAATTAGCATCAAAGAAGCCTTATTTAAATTTTTCAGTATCTACGCAATATCCCCCCTTCCATTTTTTAGTTTTCACTTTTTTCGTTTATTTCTATAAATAATTCACTTTGGGGCCCACAGGGAAATTTCCCGGTATCCCCGTAGGCCGGTCCTCCACCACTAGGACATATTTACTTGCCACTATCCAATATAGTCAAGCGAAATTTAAGCGTCACTATTGTAGCAGTTGTTCAACACAGTTGTTTACCACGTGTATCTCTAAGTTCGGACCAGATTTTTTCCTTCTCCTGAGTGAGTTCGTGCTCATGAAACCAACCAACCCGTCACTTGAGATGTAGTGTCACATTACTTAACTGTCTGCTTAAAATTCTACCCAAATCGTCCAAGCCGACAGTTACGATGTGCATAGTTTTTGCCTGAGGGACTTTACGAAAGTTATTGCGAGTGTCACCTCGTTTACAGTCATTATGAAATCGTTTTGTTTATATTTCAGACATTGTCGGGGAACTCCTTGCATAGTCACAAGGGAATCACTGATTTTAAACTTCGGTAAATAATCTCTAACACTCTCGGTTCTATGCAAATGTTTCCTACACACAACAAAAACAATAAATTTTTTCCGTATATGTCCGTTCAAAGATATTTATTCATCTATCTCTTTCTCCTTTATTTTTATTTTTCTAAGCGTCAAATAAAAAGCCGTTTCGGAGTTCGAGGAAGTATGGAGGACTTTGGAGATATGAATTTATTTAATCAAGTATTGAGCTGAATTTAAAAGCTTGCGAAATGAGTTTAAAAATCCACAGCATTTCGATGAGTGGGCACGTAAACAAAACGGTTCTCTTAAGCAATTTTCAAGCATTTTAGATCAGTGAGTCACCCATACACCCACACATCTACGCACACACATACAAGCACACACGCACAATCTCACGCATAAATACAAACATACACATATGTATGTATGTAAGTATGTATGTATCTATGTATATTGTCATTATTACCTGAAATGAATTATCCGTAAGCGTTACAGATATTACAAATCTAAAAACAGCTCGTCACGCTGAGGTGACAATAAAATTCTGCTTGCTCCTTAGATGCACGGTCAGAGGCCCGAACAAAAATTAACTGCAAAAGATTTAATCTTTTAATCGTATGAGATAAGACACTTCATATAACAATTTTTTTACATGGAAATGTCTGCAATTCTGAGATGGGGTACTGTTGTTTACGTCGGAAAAAAAACAAAACAAAAACAAACTTGTCGACTGTAACGTCATGTGGCAACTAATCTGAAAAAAAAACAAAAAAAAAACAAACTTTGTGCTACATCAGTGGCATTTCGCGCTATAAGAATCGAAATTCGAGTACAGACGACAGTGTTTGCGGTGTCCTGCGAGAATACTGGGGAAGGTGCTGGAGATTTGAAAAGACTTGCCGACGCTCAACCTTCAGAAATAATCAACGGGTATCTTTGAATATGCAAAAGCGGGAAATATATATATTTCATACTTGTATGTAATTTCTAATCATAAATTGAAGAAGGCAGAAATACTGTCGAAATATTGTTAAACGTTGTTAAACACTTTTTTCATTTACTTTTTTTAAATCGCGTTCTTCTCTTAAGTGTTGCGAAATATTGGAAGAATTACGACAATCATTTTGTTTCGCAATAATAATAATAATAATAATAAAGATAATAATATTAATAAGTATTTTTATTTAAATACTACTACTACTACTAATAATAATAACAACAAAGGAATTTTAAAAACAATATTATTATTTCATCAACATACATGCTATAAAAATTTTATCGAAAAAATTTGATAAACCCTAGAAATATAAAGATCTGCAAATAGAAATTACAAGAATGTGGTATTTGTGCACCGCTGTTATTCCAGTAGTAGTAGAAGCACTCGGAAATGCATAAAAGAATACTGACGCATGCGCATTGAGAATATCCCAGAAAATCCATATTCATTTCAAACACAAACGTTTGTGATAATTAGTACTGTTTACACACCGAGAAAAAGGCTTTTAATTCAAGATGCGCCAAAACTTTTACCCAAAGCCTTTGAAAAAAAAAAGAAAGACGTGACAATTGATTGTGTCAAGCAGCAAAAAAAAAAAAAAAAAAAGAAGAAAAGAAATAAAAACAACTATAATAATACTATTACTATTATTAATAATAATCTATGAAAATATTTGTAATCTTTTTTTTTTTACAAAAATGATCAGTGGAAAATGTCATAAAGCCATTTCTGATCCTAGGTCTCAGGTTGGGACCCCAAATGTGTATATACAACAGAAATCAAATGAAATAATAATAATAATAATAATAATAATAATAATAATTTTTTTTTTTTTGTCAGTCGAAAGTGTCATGACGCCATTTCTAACCTTAGGTCCCTTGGCGGGACCCGGAAAGAAATGTGTAAACGCCAGAAATCAAAGAAAATAATAATAATAATACAACGCAGTGAAAAGCTGGATTGAGGAAAAGAAAAGACTGTTTAACGATATAATTATTAAAAAAAAAAAAGAGACAAAAATATTTTTTATACTAAACAAACTGAAGAAGACAGGCATGCTGTCGAAATATTGTTAAACGTTGTTAAACCCTTTTTTCATTTCCTTTTTTTTTAAATCGCGTTCTTCTCTTAAGTGTTGCGAAATATTGAAAGAATTATGACAATCATTTTGTTTCGCAATAATAATAATTATTATTATTTGAATAATAATAATAATAATAATAATAATAATTATAGTAATAATAATTATTATTATTATTATGTAAATAATAATAAAAATATAATAATAATAATAATGATAATAATGATAATATTAATAAGTATTTTATTTAAATAATAATAATAAAATAATAATAAAATAATAATATAATATAATATAATAATAATAATTATAATAATAAGTATTATTGTTTAAATAATAATAATAATAATAACAATAATAATAATAATAATAATAATATGACAGTTTTCCAAATCCATGCTACAATTTAAAGAAAAGCAACAAACCTCGTCGGAGGTTTGTTTTCGTTACAAAAACTATGGATCTCAGTTTAACCTATTGTGCTAAATGGCCGTTGGCCCTATGAAATTTCCCATTCTTATTGTGAAAAGCCTTTTTAAAATGATAGTAAGTAAAGCTAAAACATTCCCCATTGTGATTTCAAGAAGAATTATAAAAGAAAAAAATACATAAAAAAAACGATGATGATGATGATGACGATGATGATGATGATGACGATGATGATCATCATCATCATCAACAGACGTCACCGAGTGTATGGCTGTGCAACTGGGTACCATCCACATATTGAAACACGGAGAGGTATTCATTCGTGTGTAGTGTGTCTCGAGCAAGGGCGGTTCCCATACCTATCCAGGTCAAATCACAGCTGCTGTCCTCCAACTTGAAGGCTCACCTTGGTCAATAACACGTTGACATTGATTCTATCGGGTGACCTCTCCATCGTGTCTCAGCAATACCCTGTCATCACTACACTACACTGCATACATAACTATGGATCTCAGTTTAACCTATTGTGCTAAATGGCCGTTGGCCCTACAAGAAATTTCACCCGTCCCTTGACAGGCCTCGCTTTTAACCTTGCTGAGTGTTTAGCCACCATTCTTACTAGAAAAGCCTGGTGGGGGGAACCGGTTTAGTTGTAGATAGCCGACCAGGTAATAAGTAGATAGTAAGTAAAGCTAAATAAAAAGTGACCCTCTATTGATGCTTAGTTCCGAGAATGGTCTGCGTTTCCAAGTAAGGGAATGCTAGAAAAATTCAAATAGAAAATCATATCGATGAACCCATGCCACTGCATTTGATATCGGCTAACACATGGACCAGACTAATGAAATATAAAATGAATTACAGTTTCATTTATATGTTTGGATTAAAAAAAAAAAGAACATCTGATTACACGTGAATCAGCAGCATGGTAAGATATTACATCAAAGATGATCTCAATCAACGATATAGCCTGCTATCTTTGTATTTGGATAATACTTAACAAACTCCTGGGTTTAGTACATCGACAAGATACTACTATATATTGAACCAAAATATATGGTGGGCTTAAATAACTGATTTGGGTGTCACGATCGGCAGATGTTCCTCTGATAATCACCAAGAAGGACCCGGTCGTCTTAACTATAAGATGCAGTGAGAACTCGCAAAAGCAGATAATAATAATAATAATAATAATAATAATAATAATGATAAGATGCCCTGATGATACGTTATGCATGTCTCTTATGCCTTTTGATCTTAACTGATCGGAGGTGTTAACGTATATATGTTTTGTCTTTAAGATGGGCTTCAGTAATTATCTTGTTCAGTACCATTTGCTTGATTTAAACCAGTTGGACATATCCTCTAGGGGGCTGACACACGATGCATTTCTGTTCAATGAGCTGAAGGTCTTCTGCAAACTGTAAAATGCTTCAGTGAAGACATCGGAATGAAATGGAGGGGTAGTTCGGAACATCATGGTTGGGTGTCGAGAGGGTTGTTTTTTAAACTTGAAAAATGAGGTCATTTTAACAACAAGTTAAAACAATAAGTCCTTATGTGAACATGCGCAGCTAGAAAATAATAATAATAATAATAATAATAATAATAATAATAATAAACATACTAAAATATTGTGTTAGCCCAAAATGCAGGTTCTGTGATAATTACCTAGAAACAATCGATCATTTTGTATCAGGTTTTCACTAGAATTTTCACGGTATTGGCACTCACTGAATATAAAACCCGGCATCACAGAGTTGGCCAATATCTGCACTGGAAAATCTGCAACTTCTACTGGAAGGAAACTGGAAGAATGGTATGAACACCACCCAGACCCGGTTAACCAGCCTACGGAGATAGGACCTAGCAACCAAGGAATTTTAAAACTGGGAAATTCACAATACCTGGAACTGACAGAACAATCAAAACAAAGCTAACCAGTGGTAATAGGTGCCCAGATATTGTTAACAAAAGACCACAAACAAAAAAAGTGCCTCCTTATTGATATGGCAGTCCCTGCAGACTGCAAAAAAAAATCTTTTGAAGATCTTCAAAAAGCTGTCAAAATACAAGGACCATGAAATCGAAATCTCAGAAATGTGGCACATGGGAACATCAACAATCCCCGTTGTAGTTGGAGCCCTCGGATTGGTTGGAAAAGATTCCAGTAGATTAATTGAAGGGGTTTCTGGAATCCATGCCTTAAAGAAATACAAAAAAAAGTTGTTCTCACGAGTACAGCCCCACACCTTACGAAGGGCTTTGTCTATGTAAAATATATTTTTTTGTCATTGAAAAATGTCATGATGCCATTTCTAACCTTAGGTCTCTGGGCGGGACCCGGAAAGAAATGTGTACACACCAGAAATCAAAGGAAATAAAATAATAATAATAATAATTCGCAAAAACGAAAGCAATGACCAAATGCAAAAACGATAGCAAGATAAGCCTCTTCATGGTCAATACTCTGCCCATACCAAACAAGTTGATGTAAACAAACTTTGTAACCATCAGTGGTAACGTAGTACAGGGTTAAAAGGTAAAACCAAATGTTTTTTGCTACACAGGAGCAATGGTTGCTAACTAGAAATTACCAAGAACACATACTGAAAAAATATATTAATCCAAAATGTAGATTCGGTGATTCCAGAAACAATTGACCATCTTGTATCAGGTTGCACGGTATTATCACCCACTGAATATAAAACGAAGCATGATACCTGCACTGGGAAATCTACAACTTTTACGGAAAGGAACAAGCAAGAAACTGGTATGAACACCATCCAGACCCGTTTACAGACATAGGACATGTAACAATTTTATGGGATTTTACAAGATACACAGACGGAAGAAATCAAAACTAATCGCCCAGACATCGTGATCAAATACCACAAAAAAAGAGAATGTGCTTTCGTATTAACATGGCGGTCCTTGCAGATTTTAATGTATCTTTGAAGATCTTCAAAAAACTATCAAAATACAAGGATCTTGAAAAAAAAATCAAAACATGTGGCGCATCAATGATTCTAGTTATAGTTGGAGTCCCCGGTTTGATGGGAAAAGATTCCGATAGACTCGGAGAAGGGATAAATCGTTCCGTTTATTTAATAAATAGTATACTTTTTTATTTCTGTCTACCGGCCTGAATGTTGGAGAAATTTTATTAAAGAAAGTGACAGTATATATTGTGGGACGGATTAAGTATGTATTCTTATGAGAAATATTGATAAACGTTTGGGGTGTTGTTACCTTTTAATACGCAGAAAATCTAATATAGATTTCTATTCATAAATGAATATAAAATTCTTCCACTTTTATTCTGTTGAGCCTGTTCAGAGGCGAATGTTGCAAGTATAACAGAATTGGTTGAACCTTCTACTCAATAACCTATAGCGTTCCTTTTTTTTATTGTTGTTTTATTATACATCACAGTTTGGTGAATAGCAACCCTCGTCTGTCATATATGTGCGTTTGGTACATTGAATTTCTGTTATAAAGTACTTTCACAGTGGAGGCTTGTATTTCACTAAGTCGGTCCTAAAAAGGTTCGACGTACAAAACGTTAGGATCTTTTTATAATAGTTAATGACGCAGCAATCTAGTTGTGGTGGTTGATACTTTAATGTCCGACATCGACTGGCGCACCAACTCTCTGAGCACCCTGACGACTGCTACTACTACTACTTATTATATGTGGGAGAGTCTATGAACAATAGAATAGGTATGTTCTAGTATAACAATTTCTCTATATAGTAAAATTTACACTTATCGATATTCCTTGACGCTTGCTGAAAGTTTATGGAAACCTAAATGTGGACGTGAGCACGGTTAAGCTGCAAGTAATGTGTTTTTAGCAGTGGTAGCGATTATTTATGTTAAATGTCACATTCCAAGCTGTCTGGCACAGCGAACAAATCATGATATTAATAACACCTCGAAAATGTCTAATTAGCATAGTGACTATCTTGAAAAATAACATTTTTGTTGCTGCATACTATCTCTATCAAACTATGTTATTATGCTCCCAAAGGTTCTTGTTATTCCCATGGAAATACATTGCAGCCATTGCTTTTGGAGCACCTCTTATAAATATCGATATCCTAATTTTGCGTGCATAATACGCAGGATTTTCCATCTAAAATAATGTCCAAACGTCTACTGCGTCTTATACTTTAGTTTAGAACTCAATCTCATTTTTTCCAGGATCCAAACCGGACGAAATCAGTACACATAAGATTTATTTTTTTTTATCGGAGAGATGATATCTATCTAATGGCGTATTGCAACAATGAGAAATAAATTTCACCTACACACTGATAAATGAAGATATCTGTGAGTGAATCGAAGACTCTTGGGAAAGTGTTATCATTGTGCCTTCAAGAAATGCTGGACCTCGAACAAATTCGACAGGACCAAAGATGGCATCCTATACGAGAAATTCATACAGAAACGGGAGTCAACAGAGGTACCCGATGAAATCAACGACGACGATCTCGCCGACGATATCTACTACACATATCTGTACTTCAAACTGACAAGAATTCGATCATTTCTACGGGTCCGACGATGAAGTTTGAAGTGTTCGAAGAGGGTGACCGTCCATGCTCAGATCTCAGATGCTCATGAGGGCATAAAAAATGACGGATTCCTCGCAAACTGTCTTTTTCAGGGCAACACAAATAATTTCGAAAGAATTATCTCAGACAGTCGCAAAAAAAAAAAAAAAAAAAAAATTAGAACCAACGAAACCAAGAAGATAATATTTATCCAGTTTTATTTCTATTTATTTCTCAATGTATGTTGGCGGCTTACTTGCCTTATACACCAAGAGTCATTTTCACGTTTTTCTAATGCTTATGAATCCCAAAAACAAATACAGTGTAACCCGGATGTAAGAGAGTTGTCGGGACCGGAGAAGAAGTCTCTTATATCCGGGTTTGGTCTATTTTATATACATTAACACAGGCTCTAATTTGGGACCAGAGAAAATCTCTCTTATATCCGGGTTTCTTTTATATCCGGATCTCTTATATCCGGGTTACACTGTATCTCGTTTTTCCCTTCATTCTTTTCTCTTACTTGTTCACAAGTTTTAGTCATTTTCTTTGCTCTAAATCAGTTTTATACATGACAATAAGCCTTTCCCCCGCAACTTCTATGCAACTTATTCTCCCTAGAGATCTATACAGAAAGCATTACAACGGTTACATCACGTTGAAACACCTGTTCCCGTCCGATCGCCGAAGTTAAGCAACGTCGAGCCTAGTTAGTGCCTAGCTGGGAATACCAGGCGCTGTAAGGTTGGATGTACGTGTGGGGCAATGGATAATGGCTCGGACTTATTAATCAGAGAGCCGAGTTCCAATTCCTGTTGGGTTAGTTATATATTTAAATATTTTTCGGTTAATTAGTAGGACATGTTCGCTAAAACGATTATTATGTAAAAAAAAAAATTACGTACAAAATATTTAGATTTCAGCATTGAATAAACCATAGAGGTGTTGATATGCCGCTAAAAAAGATTAAACGACAAAAGATTACAGTAACTAAATACATAAATAAAATATACTCTCGAAATGCGCGCGCGCACACACACACACACACACACATATATATATATATATATATATATATATATATATATATATATATATGTGTGTGTGTGTGTGTGGTACCTTTGTATGAATGCAGAAGCATCAGTGTGTCCTGGGGATGAGAGATATGCACCTGGAAAGTCTTGCTTTTCAGGGCGTAGGCTTGAGAAAGGTTTTATAGAAAGCAAGCAGATGTCCAGGCAGCAAGCCTCTCCACACCATGCCACCGATGTTATCCGAGAGATGAGCGAGGGATGATCCAGATTGTCGTCGAAAGAGTTGCAAGAAGGACTTTGAAGACAATATCAGTGCAGAATTCTAACTCAGGATTTTATTTCCAAATCCCTTCACATGGAGGGAGGGTAACAGATTCGAGGCAAATGATGCTTTTGAATTCTGAATCAGTGCCAACCTAGGGTTAGACAATCCAGTTTGCATATATATATATATATATATATATATATATATATATATATATATATATAATGATAAATTAAAAAACACCTTAAAATTCATCTGGGTTATAATTTATTTCATGAATATTGTTATATTCATCTCTTCAGACTGAATAGTTTTGTATCAATGGATTCCATTTTTTAAAATATTCGGTCTGAATATATATATATATATATATATATATATATATATATATATAAATAAATTATAATATATTATGTAAATTTTAAGGTGTTTTTTAATTTATCATTATAAATATGAATTTATCATTGCTCTGTAACTTGGATAAAAGTCCTTTTGAAATAAACACTTACCAATCACAAATTGATATTATATATATATATATATATATATATATATATATATGTGTGTGTGTGTGTGTGTGTGTGTGTAAAATGTACATAATATCTTACCTAAATTGCACAAATCCAAGTTTCATGACGAAGCAATTTTCGAAGGGCTGGAAATTTCCAGCACTTGATAATTGCTTCGGCATGAATTGTAATTATGAATTAATGTAACATATTATGTATATTTATGCAATATATATATATATATATATATATATATATATATATATATATATATATATATATATATATATATATATATATATATATATATATATATGCATATATATGTATGTGTGTGTGTGTGCTTACATATGGCACAAGGCCGAAAGTATAGAGTAACCAGTAAGGATCTAACTCACTATTTTGTCAACTGATCTCACGAAACAAGCTTGCTAACCATTATACCCAAGAAGTGCCATAGTGACTATATATATATATATATATATATATATATATATATATATATATATGAATGTAAATAGAAATAATTCGTTCAAACATTCTTTATTGAAATCAACAGACAAGCTCTTTCTGTTTAGTATTATTTCATTTTTGAAGAACCATAACTTTTTAAAAATCTTTTCAACCTAAGCAAGGCAATATACCCACTAAGTCACATGGAATTACTGAGTGTCAGAGAATATGAGGATAAAAACACTATTAAGGAAATATATATATATATATATATATATATATATATATATATATATATATATATAGTTTATGATACGCTATGTTTATGGTTTTGTGCTCAATATCAGAGATAGAGCGTATTTAAAGAAAAAATGTCAACATTGAGGTCAACACCAAGCGACGACAGTATATATATATATATATATATATATATATATATATATATATATAGAGAGAGAGAGAGAGAGAGAGTTTTGGAAAATTTCAAGGATCGGAAAGGTAAATTAAATAAGTGGTAGACGTACTGCAAGACGTTAATTTTTACTTACTTTTGAATTTTCTAGAATTGATATAGCCACTACATTGTGGAACCGACTCCCCAGAGGATGCTTCCTCGATCACTCCAATGTTAACCTGTTCAAGTTTCGGATTATCTTCCCCACATATCAGCATAAAGTGTAACCCTCTACCTCGAGTGACACTTGTATTTTGTACAGGGTTATCATTATAAAAAAAAACTTCGTTCAAAATCTGTCTAGTTGTCAGTTTTCATTTAAACACTGCATTTTTCCCATTATATTTATGGGGGAAATGCTTTTGTAGATATAAGCAGTGTGGAAATAGAAATCAATACTGTATGGTGACGTAACGCCTTAAGTGATCATCAACCTCGGTGTATAGGGCTGTCGATCCCTTAATCCAATCCAACTATCTATCGATCTATCTGATTCTATCTATCTATCTATCTATCTATCTATCTATCTATCTATCTATCTATCTATCTATCTATCTAAATCTTTTCTTTTCCATCTATATATCTATTTTTCTATGCATGTAGGTATCTAAGTCTATTCATATCTATCTATCTATTTATCTAACTACACAATGGGGCGCTGAAGGGTTCTCGACCTAATATAGAGATTAAAAAACATTTTCTTGTTTGATTATTTAGTAAAACAATCCATTACTCCAAAGTGCCCCCCATATATATATATATATATATATATATATATATATATATATATATATTGCGATATATATGTTGTGATATATATATATATATATATATATATATATATATATATATATATGTATATATATATATATATGTGTGAGTATGTGTTGGTGTGAGTGTCTATAGGATGTATATTAGTATCCGGCACAAAAGTGGAGATGTTGAGACAAAGTGGAAAAGCCTATAAACGATACGTTTCACTGACGTCTGCTGGTATCGACTTCTTCAGGGTGGAATGAAAAACAAAATTGGGTGTAAGAAAAATGGGATTTTAAATTTTTAATTAAATTACCTAATCAAATCCAATAACCAGAAACTAGAAAGTGTTTGTCTGTTGGTTTTACATATATATATATACATATAAGTATGTGTGTATATCTGTGTTTGTGCGTGTGTGCATATATATGTTCAAGATATATGTACGTATGTATATATATGTGTATAAATTCATATTATGTTTTTACAGGTATATATATATATATATATATATATATATGAATTTTCACGCACACATACACATATATGTGTGTGTATGCATGTACGTATGTGTGTGTATAAACAGGATATAGAATCCTGACAAAGTTTGAAGAATATGACAAATATAAAACCGTTTCATTGAAACTAGATTGCATGTTTCGCTCTTACTAGGCTTTATCAGATCAAAAACGAAATAAATAAATATGTGTGTTTGTGTATTTGTGTGTATGCTAAAATAATAAACCCCGAGTACATTTTACGCTAAACTGGTGTTTTTCATGATGAAAAGAAAGAACGAAATTGTGCGACTTTTGTAAAAGAAGCCATTAATATTTCTTCTGGATTTTTCCTTTACAATTTACTTGTTTTGGTTGGAATTCATTTATACATTCATCCAACTTTTCTGCATTGAATTTAAAATAAATCCTCCTCCTAATTTTAAAATGGCTCGAAAGCAAAAGATTCATATAGACTTTTATGAAATAAATTTAAATTAAATCCTTGTCCAATTTTTCAAAATGGGTTGAAAGTAAAAGATTTATATTTAGGTCTGTCCTTTGTGTTTTCCGTATTTGATTTATATCAGAACACCCCGGGATTTCTTTTTTCTCATCTAGCCCGTTGTTGTGAGATCAGCACACTGCAATGCATTTTCTTCTTATCCCTGATCAGGTTGAATATGTTAAATCGAAATTGTGGTCAGATGTATTACGATGAACTACCAGCGCGTTAAAACATTAAAGTGTTACCATGCAATATATCACTGCGATCTTCATATACTCATTTTTTCGAGGTTTCTAGATGTTTCGCCTCTAGAATATATATATATATATATATATATATATATATATATATATATATATATATATATATATATATATATATATATATATATATATATAAAAAACTATGGCACTTCACTCTGGTATAATGGTTAGTAAGCTTGTTTCGCGTAATCATATGTAGATAATTCTATATGTATGTAAGTGGGAGTTCTAATGTCTATTAGATATCATCTATTCAAATCAGGCTAAGATAATACTTAAAGAAAAAGTCGATCCTGTTTAAATATCTTAATAAAATTTTAATTATAAGTTTACTTTAAATATATCTTTTCCTTAACCCTAAAATAATTTCATAAATTATAATTTGAATGAATTGCATTTCTAATATTCTTCAAATGTACACGATTTATTTTTCTTACCATAAATTTATTCTATAATCCAAACAGGAAATTATAATATTTCATATTTTATTTTAATATTTTCTTATATAAATATCTCCTTGATTTTTTCATGGATATCTATCTTCAATCGAATCGAATTCATATTTCTAGGCTTTTTTCGCAGTTATTCTGATGGTGCTCTTAGTGAAGGAAACGTTAATGGCATAATGAACATCTGGTTATCACCTTGCATACTACTTTATCCGGATATTTCATATCATTTATCTTATATCATATATATATATATATATATATATATATATATATATATATATATATATATATATGCATATAAAATACCAATTTCTGACTGGTAAGGATAATTTCAAGGAGGATATTATTGAATTGTCCCCATGACTATAAAAATATTCACGAAATAAATTATAACCGAAATGGATCTATAAGGATTTCTTCTTAATTTATTACACACACACACACACACACACACACACACACACACACACACACACACATATATATATATATATATTTCTAATTTATTTTTAGATACTCATATTTGAGTAGATGCTCTGTATTCTTTTAATTATTTAACGATCTGAATATATTGAGAAATCTTCCTGAAAAAATATGCGCCCTATTTGTGCTTTGTTTGATCAGGAGGTTCTTTGTGGGCAAGAGGTCAAGGAGCGTTAAATCGAATGACGGCTTCCCCTAGGGGATGCAGGTTCGCAACCTGCTGGAGAGGGCACATTTTTCTTGAAATATTCAGAGCGGTAGATGGAAATAAATAAATATACTGTTTAATAATAATAAAAATAAAGAGCATCTCCTCAAATATTAGTATCCATTAAAAAATAAGGTTTAGACAAGTAAATTGGAAATAATCATTAACCGGATAAATAAATGAAAATTCCATTCCTATATATATATATATATATATATATATATATATATATATATATATATATATATATATATATATATATATATATATATATATTAGGAATGGAATGCTCTACGGTTGTATTGAGCTCTTTTGTTAGTTAGTTGTTTACTCGTATCGGGGTTTTTTTTCTTTGGGCTTCAGACCTGCATCTGTGCGATTTTTTTGTCGGCAGAAGTTCATGTTTGTAGCTCTTTCTTTTTTTTTAAACTTTTTTTTCCTCGAGATTGATTTGATTAGCAAATCAAAAATTCGAGGGTTTTTCGAAACGAGTCTAGTTATCTATCTATCTATCTATCTATATATATATATATATATATATATATATATATATATATATATATATATATATATATATGTTAGTGGTCGGGTGGGTTTTGGTTTAATTTAATCGAATGAGCCTCCCACTTATCCAGAATCTGTTATAAATTCAAGTTTCGTACGTATTTTCTCAACCTAATTAATTTTTTTGCTCGCCTATAAATTTAGCTCCTGAGACAATCAAACCTCCAAACACGCCCCTGTTACGCTACTGAACAATCTCTCTCTCTTTGTCTCTCTTTCTCTGAATCTCTCTCTCTCTCT